TGATGCCTAATATGTATGGTAAGCTTTACCCTAGCTAGTGCCCATAAAGGAAAATAATGCACCGTAAACTGACAAGCAGTTTAAAATAAGACTACTTATTCTACTAGTATAGACACACCAAGTTCGGGATATTCCACTTCAGAAGCAAAGACCCCTCCTCCTGCACGTGACGGGTAATGCAATCTTCAGGATATGATAGGGGATCCAATTTCGGCTGAAAATGATTATAAAGCTAGGTGAGCACACTCATCACATCCTCGTGGCAGTTTTCCTGACTTTGTTTTGTTCCTTTTGCTTCATTAGTGATTTGCACCAATTTACACGAAGAATTATAAGAACAAGTAAGCTCCGGACTCCCGAATCCAAGCCACGCGTGTTGCAGACGGAGAAAGAGATGTGAAAGCAACTTCCTCCAGGTTAAGCAACACTCATGAGAGAGAGTATTTTAAGAGGTTAGCAAATGAGATCAAAGAAGTCCAGTTGTGCATTCTGAGTTGCCAAATTGCCAGATCTTAACTGAACATTAATGCAAATATCGCAGTTCATTGCGTGATCTACCTAAGAGGATTTTATTTAAAAAATCAAAGATAATAAATTTAAATTTTCTTCTTCATACTTGTGCATGAAGAAAACATTGAATTGGGTAAACAGGAAATGTACCTTATGGTGAATTTTACTACTGGAAGTAATAAAGTCATCTCCAGTAAAATCCACGTCTCTAAACCATCATTGTTAGAAATCGTTTTTAAACTGCTTTACAGAGAGGGACATCTTTCTCCTTTCTACAGACGCCTGGTTTGGTTATTATTTCATTTCTTTTTAATTTAACTTTCCCAGGTTCTCTGGCATGGTAATGACTTCAGAAGAGCAGACCTGGGGAGAGCACAGAAACTGCAATACAAATGTGGAAAAGTTGGAGCGACAAAGGGGAAGGGTGGGGGGAAGGAGACAGAGGGGCCAGTATGGGGGTAAACGCAGGAGGCTTCTGCGCACCCCTCTCCGCAGCAGAGAGCACCGCGGGTCTCAGCAGCGGCTCGGGACGGCCGGCCCCCCGCGGGTCCCTTCCGTGGCCCGCGGGGGCTGCGCTCTCCGCCACTTGTCATCCTGGGTCCGTGCTGGGCTACGATTGGACGCGCCGCCGCCAAGCGCCCTCCAGAAACACAAACGCGCAGGGGAAAGGAGGGGGGCGTTCTTGCCAGTCGAGAGCTTTGGCTTTTTTACGTCTCCCCTCCCCACTCCCCTCCGCGCTCCGTGCCGGGTCTGGGCTCCCGCTGGCCTCGGATCGCTCGCGCGGCGGGAGAGTTGGCGCAAACCTCGCAGCAGCCGCCGCCGCCTCTGCTCCTTCCCCTGCACCCCTCCTCTCCCGTCATGGGACCAACTCCGGGCTCCTAAGAGTTGTGGGCTCTCAGCGGCGCGATCTCCGGCCAAAGTCACTAAGGGCGGGTTATGGCTTAGGGCTCAGCCTAGAGGTAACGCCAAGGGGAAAGGACGACTAAGCTAACTGGGAAAGAAGAGGAAAAGAAGAAAAGCCGACGATGAGTTTCCACAAGGAGGACGGAGTGAGCAGCCTGTGCCAGAAGGCGCTGCACATCGTCACTGAGCTGTGCTTCGCGGGCCAGGTGGAGTGGGAGAAGTGCTCGGGCATCTTCCCCCCGAAAGGGGGCAGCCAGGGCGGAGGCAGCACAGGTAACCCGCAGGGCCCCGCTGGCGTCCGCGCGCTCCTCCCCGACCCCGCGCCGCGGCTCCGAGCTCCCGGGTCCTGCGCTCCCCGCGCCGCGCGCCAGGGTCCTGGAGGCTCCACATCTTCCTACCTCGCTCCTTTCGCTCAACTCCGGGGGACCTCGAGCGTGGTGCATTGGGGTTTTGTTGCCTCCCTTCTGCCTGCCCCGCTTCTCCCGCTCCGGTGCGCTCCCGGCTCACCCGGGCTCCCGCGCTCTCCCACGCCTGGCGTTTCCCTCCCGGGTCGCAGCGGCGAGCGCGGGCGGTGGCGCCGGAGTAGCTGGCGACGCGGCTGCAAGCGGGGGCGGCTCTCCTGGGGGGCTCCCGAGAAGGGACCAGACGAAAAGGCCAGGTATGAGAATCGTGCTGGGAGAACCCCCTTGCAATGGGGCTGCCATGACCTCAAAAGCAGAAAGTATCCCTGCGGGTGTAACACGTGGCTGCAACCTGTCGAGCGCTTGACGGTTTCCAAAACCCTTCTATATATATAGAATATATATTCATGTGATTTCAGGGCTTCATGACAGGGTTAAGCGAGACGGTGGGATTTATTGTTTCCAGTTTTGAGGCAACGCTCAGGGCACACATGTCAAGGAAGTGGAACAGAGGTGAAATGTTAAAAATCCTTTGCGCACATACAGCCCCCAATTCACAGGCATCCCCTACCCTTCAGGAAACTTAGGAAGGAATGGGTGGGATGGAGGAGGACGTCCACCGCCAGAAATACGGAGATGGAAAAAAGGCATTCGGGTAACAGCTTTTCCAAAAGGCTTGGGGAGGGAAGGTGCGAATCAGACCATTGTTCCGGTCACAATCGGGATAAAGAGTTTCTACCACCCGCTCAAATCCAACCTGCGGCGCAGCTCACGCCGGCGAGACCCACTCGCGAGTTGCGGGGCCCCGCAATTTCAGGAGCTCCAGCGAGGATCACTTGTTGAATTGAGAAGGGGGGTTTTCCGCACTCATCTGGAAGGCTGCCATTTCTTTTTTAGGGTCTTATTTCTTTCCCTTTGCTTCTCCTCCCCTTCATTTTGGTCCCCTGGAGGGATTTTGAGGATTGAGGGTAGCCAGGGCAACTAGTAAGGGCTGGATAGACAAGGTCTGGGCGGAGCGTGAAGGAGAGCCCCGCGAGACGGGAAGGAGCAAAGCAGGGCGCTCTCGGTGAACCCCCTACACCTGCCCCCGGAGTCCAGGGCCAAGGAGCGCACGATCGGGTGGGAATGTGTTTGGTTTAGCTTTTACGTTCCATTATTTACATGGCATAGCTGCGGGGTTTGGGAATTCTCTGATCCACAGCAACAGTGGTGGAGAGGGGTTTCTGTCTGAACTTGGACGAACTTGAGATGCCAGTGCTTGGACCCTGGAGCGGAAACTTAGATATTTTGTGAATGTATGTACACAACTAGAGTCCTTTCCATTTGTTCAGTAGGCGTTAAATTCCTCCTGGTGTATAAAACTCAATTATCAGTGGAGGCGACCGGATAGACATCATTTGTGTGTGTGATATGTGTACCGTTGCTAAGCATGAGGTACAAACCGAAGCGGTGTGACCTTAGGAGGCCTCTATGGTGTATTGGATAAGCTCTTCCCAAACGCCTTTAGTGACACAAAGGCGCAAACAAGGGGCTACAGTGGAGGAAAAGGGAGTATTTAGGTTCAAAGATCTATGTTTTGGTCATCAAGAGTTGATGCTATAAATGAAAGTGATTCCTCCCCATCCATGCGTGCACGACCTCGAGGATGTCCTAGTACCCCAGGAAGGCTAATAGTGAGAGGGCTGGAAACCAGATACGAGCTTCTAAATCTTTATAAAATGCATAACTATATCAGCCTAAGGTAAAATACAATACATGAATAGGAGAAAGAGTTCTGAGCTTATCCTCAGCACTAAAAGAAGTGTAATCCTAATCCCATTTGGACTTTCCCATGGGAAGAAAAAGTGGAGAAACACTAGTCTAAAATAAACTACAAGAATATTTTTCTCCCTGTAAGGGAAAATATATGCTATTCGAGAGAGATATTCAGTATCAAGTCACAGAACATGAAAAATAAAGATAAACGTGGCTGTACACTTCCCAGACAGCACCCAGTATATTGAACAGCTATCAGTGGGATGGACATCCAACTAGGTTGTATATGAGATATAAAGATAAACGGATGGCTTTATATTTTCTATTTGCAAATCTATGCAACAGAAGTAAAATGCTTTAATCTGCAAATAGACTTCCACGATTAATATATATTTATGAAATGGCTATAATGATTATTTACCAATATTTAATTATATTAATTAGCCCCCAGCTTCACACTGTTCTTTAAAGTAGATTTTCTTATAACTTGTGCAGATGTGCCCTTTATTATAGGTTCCTAAGTAAAAGTACTTCCAGTGGCCCTCTACGCATTTTTTAATGGCAACTGTGTTATTGGTAGGAGGACATCAGTGGCGTTGAAGAGTACAAGGGTTATTCACTTTCCAAGTTAATCATCATTGCCCAGATGGTAGCAGTTATTCTAACATTACGGTGTTAACCATGACAACTACAAGCTTCAAAATTGTATGTGTTTAATTGGTCCAGAGAGAGGGAGAGAAGTTCAGTTAATCTCAGTTAAACGCATTCTACACGGAGGGGGTTATAAGTCACATATACAATTAAGGTTTCCTCCTATTGGTTTTTTAAATGCCAATAAAATGCAAGCATCACCCTCCCCTTTACCATAACAGCAGCAGCAAGAACAGTATTGAGGACCCCCTCCCATAAAGTTGACCAATACATTGGGCTCAAGGTTACTTTGCAAATATATGGTGACTGAGTGTACATTAATAGTTTTTGAACTGGATTTTGGTTAATTTCTGGTCTGTCTTGAATACTACCCAAATGCTTATCAGGTTCAAGGAACTCAAAATACATATTTTATAATCTATTAAATATGGTATTCATGTAAAGTTTTTTTATCACTTATCAACATGCAAGGGAAAAGTAAAAGGCAATAAAATGAAAATGAAAATTATAAGAAACAATGTTGCAAGGATGTTGATTGATTACATTATGCATTGGATTTATAGATGAGGAAGACACTGCTAGTTGCCTTCTGGCATTGGTTTCCCCCTTCTGCCTCAGTACAATAGTATCCCTTTTACATTTAGCTGTTAATGTATGACATCAACTACTATGTACTACTACTACAATAGTATCCCTTTTACATTTAGCTGTTAATGTGATGACATAAAAAATGAAAACAGAAAATTTCTCAAACTCCTTGCAGTTTTGTGCAGCCCTGGGACTCTGCTCTGACTACTGGAATTTTAACAGCGTGAGGTGCACAGTTTCAAGGTTGTAACTTAAAGTGAAAGGACTTACCTTCACTTTCCCTTTTTTGCCGGAAATATGTACATAGTAACTTTTCATCTTGGACTTCAAGGAGAAGCAAAAACCTTTGAATCACGGAGTAAAGCATTGAAAAAACGAGGATTCCAGACACCCTCAAGTTGATGTATCTGTCCAGGCCTGCTTATGCTGGGACAGTCTCTTGCTGTGTGAAAGACAATAAACTAGCTGACTTAAGTCACTATTCATTTGGTCCCATGTTATAGAAATCAGGACTATCCTGTAGTTATTATAATAGTACTATATGGATAGTGTATATATGTTAACTTCAGAGATGATTCCAATTTTCATCTTACAGGCAGTTGCCTCAGCCTCCTTTGAATAAGACCTGATGATTTGAGTTTTATACCCCTTCTTTCTTTACAGAATGGTGCCTTAAACAGGAGTAAGGACTGTGGTCAGACAACCACAGGGAACAATCAAAAAATCAAAAGGCTTGGAATATCCTTGAACTAACTGACAATTTCTGATTAATTATGAGAAATCAGACTGATTTTACATTTTGAGAAATGAAAGGTGAACTAGAATTTTAAAATTAAAAACAAAAAAAAGGAAATGATACAGGTAGACACAGATAACAGTATCAACCGGAGCAGTAGTCACTGGAAATGAAGACATGGGAGCTCGTCTATGCTTTTCTGTGATCGTAGCTGGCTGCTTAGGCGCTAACGGTACTCACAGCCACAGTGAAGGGTCATGCAAATGTTAGAATCTATTTATATAGACTTCAGCAAAGTTTTGCTTTATACAAAGTTTCTGAGGAATTAGCATTTGGGGGATTACTTTGTTTTCTGATAAGCAATCTGTCCTCAGTTTTTCAGAACTGTACCCCTTCATTTTGAGATAGTAAGATATGAGAAAGAGTAAAATTTTTACAGCTAAAATGAGTTAGAGAAATACAATCAGAGAGACAGACAGACAGACAGCTAGCTAAGTAGATAAGCAAATAAGTAGTGGTGGAACCAAGTTTATGCATATGCATGAAATCAAACCAGAGTTTGAGCAATTTTTAAACCTAATTATCTTAGAGCCTAATCTAATTTCTGTAAATTTCATTAACTGTTAATATCCCAAGATATAATAAGATGAATGTCACAGAATGGATTCTTTTTAGTTTTCCTGAAACATTGAAAATTAGAGCTAGAGAGATCCTACTCATTGAGTTTGCCATGTGTACTGGGTAACTTAAAAGTCCGTGTGGACAAGGCAGGCCGTTCTTGTCCATCACCCTGGCCTTCCCGTGATTTGACCCTTTCCTCCAGCAATCTTTTCTAACCCACCTTACCTCTTTTCTGTTGGGATTATACCCAAATACCTGCCATCATGGTGCATAATGCTATCTTAGAACTATAAATTGCAATAATCCAGTCCCCAACCAGAAGCTCCTATATGCTCATCTTTCTCATTTGCAAATCTAATCCACGAACCTTTTTACTTGTCTCTGAACCCCTGTCAATAAATAGGGCATCATACTGATGATCCATCCATTTGTCGTTGCAACCACTTTCTCCTTTGGAGTTTATCACATTCTCCTGGGAAAACAAACAAGTGAGCAAAGAAACAAAAATCCTTCTTTATTTG